GCCCGCTCTACGGCAAGTTTTGGGAACGCTCGGTAAAATAATCGGCATTGCAGAAGAACGCCGTACCGCAAGAGAAACTGAGAGAGGGGGCGATTAAGCGTGGATGAGTTATCATCCCTGAGCTGTTACTTACCAACAAGAATCGTGTTGTCGTTACAAGTTATCCCTCGACAAAAGCTACTCCAGAATGAGGTATCATCAGGTTCCTGAAAAACTATTCATTAATAGAAAGCTCCCATAGACCTGCGATCCCACCACGGTACTAAGCGAGGCAGGTTTTATTGTTACAGTAAAAGGAAAGGAGTAATAGCAGTAACAATAAACCTACACTAATCCCTGTATCGATGAGTTGTTGCTCAAGAAGTTTTTGAGTCCGCATATCAAAAATCTGAGCTCCGATTGTGGTTCCAACGACCAAAAGTGGCAACGTTCGAGCATTTGGCAATACCAAACTGGCCTGAAATACTCTTTAGAATCCTCATGAATCACCATGTTCGTTAATACTTTACAAAATTCATTATTATGGACTTATTACCTGGAGTACATTTACAGGTTTGTCCGTACTTGTGTCTGAGATATTGATACTGTCCCAACTTACGCTCTCGTTCTTGCTATCCCAATTTACTGTATGCACCTGGAACAGGAACGAAAATGAATGTTTCTTTCATCACGCTATCGATCAAACAAAAGTCCAGCGCTTTTCATGTTGTTCGTGCATTACCGGTTAGGTCTGGCACCATTATTGATTTTGTCGCTATTTGCAAATATTCACATCGAAAAAGTGTAGTCACCTGAGTTTTCTGAACAACGCACGCGTATGTGATGTTCCTACTTTCCAGATAGCAAACAGATAAATTGTTCGGATACGCCGAGATGCTTCCCACAGTCAACTTCATGTCATGACCTCTTTCGAACATTGGAGCCGACATTTGAAGCTTCCGATTGGCACAGCTTTATTTATGCCTTATGTCGCGTGAAAACAAAGACGTAATGTTATACCTGGTAGGATCCTCAAGAGACTTCACATCAATTACTGAAAATTGCGTAAAATAATGGGAAAAAATGACGATTAAATATTATAGCAGGCGTTTGGACATGGCCATGGAGACACAAACGGAAACAGAAAGTCAAACAGCGACAAACAAAATGCTACAAGAGTAGGGCACATCATCGTTGCTGGAATTTGGAGTTGGGAGAGGGGAGGGGGGGGGGTCGTATCTGGTCGCTGGGAACGTGGGTCCCATTGTACCTCGAGCAGAAATTTTCCATTTGTGGATCCTCCACGCCCATCAACTCTCCTCCCCCACTTGACGACAAAATTTTGCAAATGTTTCTAATATAGTAGGTAGGTTGTTACTGGGGTCGTGCTGAAGAAGGAGGTTTGAGGGGAGGGGGGTGGGAGGAGGGAGCGAGGTG